TGCTTATTATTTTATTGTTGCCATTTTTACTCCTCACCTTTTCACATGGAATGGAAACAGAAATTACAAAAAAAAAGGTTGTATTTATAGAAGCACTGGGTTGGGCATTTTCTATTCATATATATAATATATCCTATATCCCCACACATCTTGTCAGTGTATCATATGATCTATCTGACTAAAATGACTTCAAAACGTCAGTCACATCCACTCTCACTCCACGTACGTGAACTTAGACTCATATTCGAGTAAATCTAGCCAAGATTCGGCTCCAAAGCTGCCCAAGCTGCGCTACACAGCGCAAGTATACCACTCGACGAGCTTTATCCATTTGTGGCTTTGGACTTTTCGTAGCTCGAACCATTCGTGCAAACATCCCGAAATACTACCTTTTTTCCAATGCAAATTTTAGCATCTGAATAGTGAATCCAGAGACAATTCAGCGCCAAAGCAGCCCCGGCTTCGTCAGAATGCGCCCGTATGCAACTGAACGAGCTCTTTCCATTGGTGCCTTTGGATTTTTCCTAGATGAAACCATTCCTTTAAAAATCCCAAAATACGAGCTTTTTCCTATGCAAATTTTAGCATATGGATAGTAAATCCAGCCAATATTCGGCGCCAAAGCAGCCCCAGCTGCGCCCGACAGCACCAGTACGCAACTTGACGATTTCTATCCATTGGTGGCTTCGGATTCTTCCTAGCACGAACCATTCGTGCAAAAACCCCAAAATACTAGCTTTTTCCTATGCAAATTTTAGCATACGGATGTGAATCGAGCCAAGATTCGGCGCAAAGCACCTCAAGCTGCGCCAGACAGCGCAAGTTGACAACTTGACGAGCTCTATCCATTGGTGGGTTTGGATTTTTCCTAACTCGAACCATTCGTGCAAAAACCCCAAAATACTAGCTTTTTCCTATGCAAATTTTAGCATATGGATAGTAAATATAGCCAATATTCGGCGCCAAAGCAGCCCGAGCTGCGCCAGACAGCGCCAGTACACAACTCGACGAGCTGAATCCAATGGTGGCTTTGGATTTTTCCTAGATAGAAGCATTCGTTCAAAAATCCCAAAATACTAGTTTTTCCTATGCTAATCTCACCACATTGTCAATAAACCCAGACGGCATTCATGCAGGAAGCTGCTCCAGACAGTTCCACAAGAGAACTCGATGGGTTTCACCGGTTGGTAACGTTGGATTCTCCGTAGCTGAAATCATTTGTGATAAAACTGGAAAATTCTGATTTATAAGCCTATGAGTCCAACTGATAGTGACTAAAATCAGCCGATATTCTTGTAGGAAGTTGTTTTAGCAATTTCAATACGTTCCCAAACGTAACTTGACTGAGCCCTATCAATTGATAATCTTTGTGTTGTCATAACTGAAGGCATGTGTAGGTAGAATGAAAATGCTGGCTTTTGTCTTTTGCATCTTTTGAACTTTTCCGGTCAAAGTTGACAAGTTTCCTCTAGCTTATCACGCTGGAGGAGTTTTGAAGGATAGGTTCTCGCAAAATAAAGATAGCATATTCGGATACAGTGTGTTCAATTTCGCCCATCCCAGTTCAGATCTCTAGCGAGTACCTCTGACGGCATGCGAAAAAAATTTTGACAAAATTTAATAGATTATTGTTTGAGCTATGAAATATGTGATTACAGCATTGAACAGAGCTCATCTAGTTGTAATTGGAACACAGATAGAAGACCTAGAACATATTCCTGAGGGAATCCGCGATAGTTTCACTATATAACCTCTCATAATTAACCAATATTTTCGCATTTTAGAACACATACTTAGAGTTTTGGAAATTCTACTTATTCCAACCGATAGAGCTCATCCAGTTCTAATTGGAAACTGTCTGGAGCAGCTTCCAACAAGAATATTGGCAGATTTTAGTAACCATTTCATAGCAATCGTATGCTAATAAATTACTATTTTCGAATTTTTTTCTCAGATGGTTTCAGCTATGGAGAATCCAACGTTACCTATCGATAGAACTCCTCCAGTTCTATTGTGGAACTGTCTGGAGCAGCTTCCTGCAAGAATGTCGGCTGCGTTTATTAACAATGTAGTAAGATTAGCATCGGAAAAAGCTAGTATTTTGGGATTTTTGCACGAATAGTTCGAGCTAGGAGAAATCCAAAGTCACCAATGGATAGAGCTGGTCGAGTTGTACACTGGCGCTAGACATGGCGCAGCTAGAGCAGCTCTGGCGCCGAATGTTCGCTGGATTTACTATCCATATGCTAAAATTGGCCCAGGAAAAACCTAGAATTTTGGGACTTTTGCACGAACGGTTCAAGCTCGGAAAACTCCAAAGGCACCAATGGCTAGAGCTCGTCGAGTTGTATACTGGTGCTGTCTGGCGCAGCTGGGGCTGCTTTGGCACCGAATCTTGGAGTTTTTACTGTCCAGATGCTAAAATTTGCATAGGAAAAAGCTAGTATTTTGGGGTTTTTGCACGAATGGTTCAAGCTAGGAAAAATCCAAAGCCACCAATGGATTGAGCTCGTCGAGTCGTATACTGGCGGTGGCTAGCGCAGCTAGGGCAGCTTTCGCGCCGAATCTTGGCTGGATTTATTCGAATATGAGGCTAACTTCAGCTACGTTCTCAGTCCAGTGCTCTTTTTACCGTATGTTTAGAAAGTTTTTTGTTGAATGAATCGTTTTGATAAGTTTTTGAATCATATAGAACTTATTTAAAAATTTAACCTATTAAATACTACTAAAGAGTTTTAGTGCATTTTCTAAGATTCATTTGTTGAAAAAAGCGGCATATACATAAACAAATTTCTTCTGTCTTTGTTTTCTATGATGACACTATAGGAAAAATCAACTGTTTGTTTTGTATGAAGTTTGTCTTTTCTTTTTTTATTATAAGTTTATTTTGTGGCATTAATCAAGACAATCACTCGAATATTTATTCACTTNTTTTTCTATACTGCCATCTTCTGTACTAATCTATATTTTTCTTTTTGCCAATCATGTTTTCGACATTTTCCTTTTCGCTATTTTCCTCTTCGCTATTTTCCTTCTCTAATGTTTTTATTTCGACATTTTCCTCTTTCAAATTTTTTCGACATTTTCCCCTTTCGACATTTTCCTTTTCGACATTTTCCACCAAGATCACGGAACCTATAGTGGTTTCGTAAACCGGTACGAAACCTTTAAAGTTCGGTAGGAAATCTGTTTTTTTACAGTGTACCAGCACATCTGCTGGCAATGTTGTTCACGAGAGCGTCCTCTAAAAAAATAAGAACTTAGCTGAACTTCTAGCTTAAAATAAATCATATTATGTCTGATCTGTAATTGGAATAGCATGCTTGAAAGAAGCTCGTACTCTGGGTAGCCGTCAGACTACACAGATAAA